AGAATATTGAAAGTTTGACCATTTTTACATTTGTTGAATGTTAACATTAATCATATGTTTGATGGGAATTAAAATCAGATTTTTCGTAGATTTTAATAAATATTGATCAAATATGTAATTAAAAAGTCTCCGACTCCGGTGACTATTCCGCTAACCGTTTCGCCGTCACTTTGCTCCGGCGATTGCTCCGATTCCGACAATTATTCCAACTCCGGCGAAAATTTTTAGATCCCAATTCAAAATTTTCATAGGTCACGGATTGTTCATCGATCACAAATCACAAAATTTATAAGTCACAATACTTATTTATGGTCACAAATATCACATTAATTAAACATAAATTATATTTAGGTCACAATCTATCAAATTATTGGTCATAAATTAATAATTTTTAGGTTACACGACATGTATAGGTCACATTTTATCTATTTCATTGGTCACAGACCAACAAAATGATTGGTCACAATCAATCAATTATTTGTAACCACCACCAAATCATTTGTGACTATCACCAAAATCTATTGGTCACAATCGCCATTGCCTCCACCAGCGGCACCACTGTCGTCGTCGCCCAATAGCAACATCAACCTCTCAAAACAAACCAACGTCACACCCTCCCGACACCACTGCCACAATCCCAAAACCACCACATCCAACACACTCGCCCGCAAATCCACCACCGCCAACCCCCACACAGCAAATCCCAACCACAATCGTCGCAAGCGCGCACACACACAACCGCACCATTATATACCATTACACCGTACCTCCATTGCTACACGCACGCACGGACACCCACACACGTTCCCCCTCGCAGCGCACACCTCCACCAACATCGTACCACAGCCGTCCACTGTCCCACTTAGAAAAAAAGAATGGACAAGATGATGCTGCGACGCTGCCGTTCACACTTTACGTCGAAGCTGCCACCAACGTACCACACCAAATTGAGACGGAGCAAAAAAATAAAACAACACCAACCCAAGGTCCACCGCCACCAGAGTCGAACTGCACCGCAACTGCACCCTAAGATCCTCTGCAA